GGAAACATTCAATATCTTAATTGTAGTTGTGGTTATAAGGTATATAAATTTGTTAAAACATACCAGACTGTGCAATTCAAATGGGTACATTATACTGAATGAAAACTACACCCTTATAAAGTTGCTTCTTAAAATCCTAACCAGAGCAAAAGGTTCCCATTATTATTTCACCAGAGGTCCCAGACCTGTGGGGAAGGGCACTGGGTGCTGGGTGAATGGGGGCTGAGTTGATGGGTGACCCCATGGCTCTGGAGTCCCCAGAGGGGTTTCCTGGGAGCATTAGGATTCTGACACTCATCCCCAGCTGACATCAGTAGCCTTCAGTCTGCTGTTCGTCTGAGTTAATGTCTTCACTCATGATTTTAATGTCAAGTGGAAATATCATGTTCGCTCTAATCCCTTCTGACAGGCTGCACTTTAACTGGACTTAAAGGAGGGAGGGAGGAAGAACAAAGCCGGGAGACTGATTCTCAGATGGGAGGGTTGTTTTATCCCTTCTTTCTCTTTCAAAGCTGTTTCCCTGGTATGTTCCTGGACCATCTTTAAAGATCATTTCCAAATCAGGGAGAATGTATTCAGCTTTTCATTGGCTCAAGTTACTGGTTCATCAAGAGACTTTAGGGAAACAAAACAAAGAGCCACATGTCCCTCAGCCCACCCCTTCCAAAGCGTCTGAACGTCAGCATCATGGTGTAAGAAAATGGTTCTCAACTGACTTTTGTAAGCACACCTTCTGACTCTGAAATTGTGGGTGGTGCACTCGAAACTCTTTTTTAAAAACTTCAAAATACTGAAGTCAGTAACCATGTATGTGAATTTCAGTATGACAGTGTAACACATGCTGATCTTAGTGTAACAGTATAACGCATATTAATCTCATTATAACAATGTAACATGTGCTGATCTCAGTATGACAATGTAACACATGCGTGTCTCAGGGTAATAATATCTCCCAGCAACTGTGATGCTCTTTCATGGCACATTCTGTTGTCATTTCAGCACCAGGTCACTGGATACTCTAATCCAACTCCCCTAAGAAGCTTAGGAGAGAAATTTCCTGTGTGTTCCAGTTATGAACAGCCTTCATTTTCAGCAACAGCTTAACTTTGGGCTCTGTCCTGTTAGCCACAAGAAAAGCTGTGACATCTTTAGATTGTACCAAAATCATATTTTACACAGTTATGAAAAATTGCCAGTATGAGTATTGGAAATCTTTGGTGATTAGGAAAGAATAAAGACATAACACAGGGGATGGACAGAGATTTGCATCCACACACTTCAACTAAATCTACTTTTTGGTGTTTTTAAGTCAAAAATCTCCATAGAAAATCAGGAAAACTGACACACAAATAAAATAATAATCACATATTCCCCCAACCAGAGTTAGCCATTATAAACTGTTTCTGCATATGTTTTTTCAGGGTGTATTAGCTTAACATAATTGTAATTTATATTATATAACTACATGTTTTAGTATATACAGATTTATGTCCTACTCTTTTCACCTAAGATTGTACCCTGAGAATTTTTCTATACCATTTTGTAATTCTTTAAATTATGTTAATTTCTACATATTTATCATCTAAATATTCCAGTATTTATTTAACTAATTGTTGGTGGATTTCTAGATTATTTCTATTTCCTCAGTAGTATAAATAACACACCAACGAAGGTCCTTGTCCATGAGTCTTTGACCAAACATCTATTTCCTTAGGATTAATGCCTAGAAGGTAAGTGACTGAGTCCAAGGGTGTGGACATTTGCAGCTGCCCCTTGGTTTAAAACAGCATGTATCCCTCTTCCTTCTCTCTGAATAGTTAGCCCCAGGTGACTTCTGATAAATACCATAGTCACTCTTGGCCTGTGATCCTGGGCCCAGATCACTGAGCATGCCATGCCGAGATTGACATGTGTTGCACTGAGATTAATGTGTGTTGCATTGTTACACTGAAATTGGTATGAGTTACACAGAGATCAGCGTAATCTCTCTGGGCCCACAATTTCATAATCTCTCTAAGCCCCTGATATTTCTAGGCTCTTTCTCCCATCACCTTTGCAGGAGTCCTACCTGGCACTGGGACCCAGCTCCCTTGCTCATGTTGCACTGGCCCTGGCACGACAGCCCCATCAGTGTTTCCCCTTTGATGAGACCCAGCTCATGAGGTCCTAGGAGGAAGGGATGCTTTAAATGCAGTCCTCTCTCCCTCCTTCCCTCAATCCCTCCCCCGCTCTCTCTTTCTCAGAAGCTGCTGGTCTTTGCTTCTCCCCGTGACTCTCACTGGGCCTGACTTCCCTCCCCACTTCCCACCAAGTGAAGTTACTGTCCCTCAGCGTTCTCAAACCTCACTGTCCTCCTCTGCAAATGAGAATCATTCTGCCTGCCTTATAAAGACAGACCTTCACTCCCTTGGAAACACTTAGTCCACACCTGTCAGATATTCTTCTAGGCTCTGGGGAAGCAAAGATGAAGGCGCCTGGCCTTCAAGTGAAGAAAGAGTATCAGAGAGCCAGGAATACAGAGGACCAGAAAAGCCATCAGTGCTCTTGTTTGGATCCAGAAGCTGGACATCCAGGTGGGACACTGGGCCGTCACCAAGAGGTGGCATTGTCTGTTTCTAGTTTAATGTCAAGAAAATTTAGTGTATCAACAACCAGAAAAGATTTTGTAGATCATCCCAGCTTTGCCACTTACCAGCCACATGACCCTGGACAAGTTTCCAAAGCCTCTGTGCCTCTGTTTTTTTACCTGTAAAATGGAGCAAATAATAGAACATACTCAAGGGTGTCAGGATTAAATAAGCTGCTGGATGCAAAGTGCTTAATACGGTGCTTGGCACATAGTAGGTGCTCAGTAAATGATCATTAGCTGTTGATATCTAGACTAACTCCCTTATCATCACAAAATATGAGAAATTAAGACATGGAAAGGTTAATTAACTTGTTCAAGGCCACACAGCCGGCTACAGGTAAGAGTTGGGACCAGACCACCAGGGCACTCCTTAGTTAAAATGAATGCTATATTTTCTGCCATTTATTGGCAACCTCTCTTGCTCATGAGTCTATTTCAGGCACTGTGAGTTCTTTCCCTTTATCTCACAGCTACCCTGAAAAGACGGTATTATCATTCTCATTTTCCAGGTGGGGAAACTGAGACTTGGACGAGCTGAGTAACCTCTCCTGGGTGCAAAGAAGGCTAAGTGGCAGAGCCAGGACTTGAGCTCAGGCTGCCCGTCTTCAGGCTTATGTGCCCCTGGATGCCACCTGTGCTCTGTTCCACTGGGCCAGGTTTCCAGGAGGCCAAGTTTAGAGGCTTGAGTCTACCCTTCTTCCCTGGGCAACAGGAGAAAGGCATTTCTGACTAGAAATGCCTTTTTGAGACATGTAGTCATCAGCCAGGCACGTTTTCCTCCCAGGCCTCTGCCTTCTGGGTCAGCACCCTGCGGTCCCTTCAACATTCATGCCTAGGGGACCAAAAGGTCCGTGGCCCCAGGCAGCACCACATGGCCGGGGTGCTCAGCTGACCCACAGAGCTATGCCCTTGGCACAGGCAACTGTCACTCACTCCTCAGTGCTGGCCAGCTCTGCCAAGCAGAACAACCGTCCATTGTCTAGATGGCTTTTCACCTGCTTCCCTCTAAGGAGCAGGGTATGAGGAAAGAGGAAGAGGTAGAGGGCGCTGGGGTCCCTGCAGCTGGACTCCATTGTGGAGAAACCCTGAGGCTTTGGGGCAGGATTGCAACTGTTCATCTCAGTGCTGTGACCTTTGCACCGTCACCTGAAGCTGGCGGGCAGGAGGCATGTGTCCTCTGGCTTCATGGCCCTCAGCAGTATCACTGTTTCCCCTTGCCCAAGATAAATGACTGTCATGATGGGCACCTTCCAGCCTCAAAACCTTTGCTCCCACTAATCCCTCTGCCTGACAAGCTCTCCACATCTCCCCCTGCTACTGCCTTCTCCTGGAAGCCTCACCTGATTGCCTCATTGAGAAAATCCATGGATTTTTATTCAAATACCCTGGGCTCAATTTCTGGCCCTCTCTCACCTACTTGCTCTGTGGTGTCTGCTGTTGTCTCAGTTCTCTGACCCTCAGTGTTCTCTTTTTGTGAAATGGGGCATGAGAGGAGGATACCTCACGTAATGTGAGTACCTAATGTGTATGTTGCATGCAGTCTCTTTTTTAACCCACACTTCCACTGCAGACACTCCTGTTGAAGGACATTTTGATTCTTTTGTCACAGATAAAGGCCCTGGGGCCTTGGGAAGTGAAGTCACATGCCAAAGTTCATACATCTGGAAAGTAGTAAAGCCGGAATATAAACCCAGGTTTTTCTGTCTCTGACATTCAGCTGCGATTACTCTTCCAGTCACTGGCAGTTGAGGAGCTGTTTCTGACCAAGTAGACAGGGGGCGCAGGGGGCACAGGAGCCAGCCAGATGGAGGTCAGTGACAGTCCTAGGCTGAGGGAAGCTGACTTGGAGGACACAGCTTTAGGGACTTCCTCAGGGACTCCCCACCTCACATCCCACAATGAAATTGACTCCCCCAGACACAGGCAGACTGGAAAACGACATGGGCTTCTCTGTCTACTCCCACCCCTGCACCCCGCTGTGGGTGCCTACCCCTACGAAACCCACAACATGGAAACACAGAGGAATCGCCTTCCATGCAGGCTGGCTCTGAAGGGAGAGAAGCCCTGTGCTGACCATATCCCTTCAGTTCCTTCTCCCAAACTCCCGATTGGAGGAGTCCAGCCCAGCAAGGAAGATTCGGAGGAACGTGCTCATATTAACACTGTAGGTGCTCGAGAATTATGACTTTCTCTCCCTCACTTTTTCCTTTCTCATAAAGGGCATTGCTTCAGGGCTGTGGCTATGAAGAAGGTGACCCAGCTGTCTCAGGATCAAAGCCGGTTTTTAATCATGATGCCATTGCCAGTTCCCAGTGCGACATTGTGGTTACAAATGGAATAATAGCTCTCTCTCTCGTTTACCCTGGACTAGGGCTTGGTCATTGAGCACCTGGGATGGAGACCCCTCCTCATTGGTGACTTTGGGCTAATGGCCCTCTTCTTTGGGACCCTCACCATCACACTGACACTGCAGGTGAGATGATGTGCTTGTCACATTTGAGGGAGATAAGCATGGAGCTGGCTTCTGGCTTCATCATTTTGGGGCCTTTGATTTGTGGGTTCATACTTCTACCAGCAGTGCTTGTGATAAAGCTGTCCCGGGGGCAGCTCATCTCTGGAGCTGCTCAGGGTCTCAGTGAAGAGGGTTTGGTGAGGGGTCCTTGGACTGGGACATGAGAGACCTGACTTCTGGTCCTGTCACTTCTGCTGATGAGCTGTGTGATCTTGGGCAAGACACTTTCCCTCTCTGAGCCTCAGTTCACCCATCTATGGAATAGAAGAGCTTGCACTAGACAACCCTAAGATGCCCCTTCCAGCTGTCACCGCCCAGCATGAATGCCAGGTGCTGCATATCAGCCACTTCCCCAGTGGTCACAATTTTATAAACAGTGGCTCTGGAGCCAGACAGCCTGTGTGGATCTCGGCTTTTCCTTACTGGTAATGAAACTTTAGCAAGTCAGCTCCTCTCCAGGCCTCATCTCTCAGATGGAACAGTCAGTCGTCCCTTCGTCCAGGGGTGTTGTGGGATGAAATGAGAAAATGTATGAAAAGCACTTGGAACAAGCACTCAGTGGACGTCCATGTAGGTGGAGGGGTGACAAAGGACTTCATCCTTACAACATCGGTATTTGTTTCTTTTATGGAGATAAGGAAACTGAGGGATAAATATAAATAAATAAGCTTCCCAAGGTTACACCACCAGAAGGTGGCCAGCTGGGATTAGATCCCCGGATGTTGGGCTTCTGTCCCCTGCATGGCTCAGGGCAGCCTGCATTAATTGAACACTGCCTCAGTGTCTCCAGCTCATCTTGGTGCCATGGGAAGCATGAAGCAAGGTTGCAGCAATTGATCAGTCTTTGCATTTTTCAAAAATGCATCTGGAAATTGATAGGTGCACGTTTTGATCACCTGTCAAATGTCTTAGTGGCCCAAATGTTTCTAGAAAAAGGCACTGTTAGCATGGTGGTGTCTGATGGGTGCCCTTCGAAGAGGTGGGGCTGGCGAGCATGCCGACTGGCAGGAGGTGGAAGCATTGCCTTCAAGGACAATGTACTAGCAGGTGCAGTTCCTTCCTGACAGCCAGGCCCAAGCTGTCCCGAGCCCGGGCATCTTTACAGTCCTCTGAAGTTCTCAGGAAGCTAGTTGGGTGATGTTCTGGGCCATTGTCTTTCTGAAACTTGTGTCAGAAGTTTAAAAGGAGGGCCTGAAGCCCACGACCCCATCTAAGCCTCACTTCACGAGGTCTCAGAGCTGTTCCTGGCTTGGCCACCCTTGTCTCCCCCAGTGCCCCACACCCCGCCCCCGGCAGTTCCTCAAGGGGCCTGGCAGTTTCCTCTCCTAGGGCTCTTCTGTGCTTGGCTAGCTTCTCCTTGCTTTCTGGACTCAGGAGGCCTTGGACACTCCTGGACACCTCTTCCTACAGGAAGCCTCCCCTTGCTTCCAAGTCTGGGTGAGGTGGCCTCTCCTGGGTTCCCATAAGCCCCAAGGGGGAACCCTGTGAGATCACTTATCACGGACCATTGACTTTCACTGTTGACGCATCTCTCTCCCAATAGACAGTGAGTGAGTTGTGTCGGGCCATGCCTGAACCATATCTGCATTTCCACCTCCCAGCCCAGTGCATGGCACTCAGGGGCAGCTGAGATCAATCAGTTGAATGAGTGAGTGAGTGACTTGGTACAGAAGCAAGTCACACAGTTTACGAGAGTCCACGAAGCTCCTCTCAACCCTTAGAGCTAATGGATTTGGACACAGAACAAGGGGAAGTAAGGAGTTCCCCATTCCTCTGCCCTCTGTACAGAGGACGACTCTGGAGTCATCCTCTACTCCAGACTATTTGCAGTTCACCCCCGCACTGTGCCCTCTCAGGCTTCTGTGCCCTTGTGTATGCTGAACCTCCTCCTGGAACCTCTTTCCTTTCCTTTCCTTTCCCACTGGGCTGACTCTGGCTCAACCTACAGAGGTGCGCGCAGGCTCTTACCTTCCCTTCGAGTCAGGCGGCCTCTCCTGGGGCAGCCCTGGCACCCCCACACACTCAGAACCAGTGACACTGTATTCTAATGCTCAGCCGTCCAGTCTGCTAGAGCAGGAGCAATCCCAAAACATCCTTTTGCAACCAGCACCAAGCCACCCACCCCCCAGATGAGTGACAGCTTCTCCAGACACATTCCATGAAATGCATTAACTCATCTCACACCTTGCAAGACGGCAGGGGTACAAATACGGTTCTTTATTTAATAATACCAGAACTAAGGTAACTTTTTAAAAACAAAATATAGAAGTCTTTAAAATGTATATGAGGAAATATATATATATGTATATATATATGTGTGTATATATATGTGTATATATATACATACATACACACACACTTTAAGTTCTGGGGTACATGTGCAGAACGTGCAGGTTTGTTACACAGGTATACATGTGCTATGGATGTTTGCTGCACCCATCAACCCATCATCTACATTAGGTATTTCTCCTAATGCTATCCCTGTCCCAGTCCCTGACCCCCCAACGGGCCCCGGCATGTGATGTTCTCCTCCCTGTGTCCATGTATCCTCATTGTTCAACTCCTCCTTATGAGTGAGACATGCAGTGTTTGGTTTTCTGTTCTTGTGTCAGTTTGCTGAAAATGATGAACTTTTATAAATGTGATAAAGCCGTGAAAATTGCTCATATTGCCTGCTGCCAACTAAGCACTCAATCAATGTGAGTTATTGATTTATTTACCACTTCGTGTATGCCAGGACTGTGTCAAACTCATCACAGGCTTCGTCTGATTTCATCATGGCTATAAAATAAGCAGATGGAATGACTGAAGGGTTGTCATTGTTCCCATGTTATAGATGCTGAAGCTGGGGCTTGGGGACATCCAGTGACCTGTCCAAGGTCACACAGATGGGTGGAGGAGGAGCTGGTGTGGGAACTCAGGTCCTTTGGACACACCATCACCTCCTCACCTGACCACTCCCTGTTCTCTCCCAGGACCATGCCCCCTGGGTCCCCTACCTGAGTATCGTGGGCATTTTGGCCGTCATCGCCTCTTTCTGCAGTGGGCCAGGTAAGGCGCCCCTCCCTCCTCACTGCCCCGCCCAGGGGCTCATGGCATCACCAAGCTGGGGAGCTCTCCTCATACAGATGGGGCACCCAGAGCCCAGAAGAAGCAAAGCCTGACTGGAGATGTGTGTCTGCTGCCTTCCTTTTGGCCCGATTGAAATGTAGCCGGCTGTCGGCAGTCTACCCCACAGAAGGTGAAAACGGGCTCACCTGAAGATGAGTGGGAGATAATATCCCACCGCTCAGCAAGAGCAGGTCACACGCGGGAGGGCTCGGAGCCAGAGGCGACACTGGTTTGTGATGAATCAAAGACAACCAAGTCACACAGTCTGTGCCTAAGCAGTTACGGTCTAGGGTGAAAGATGTGGCAATAATCATGGCCATGTCAAAGACATATTAATCATTGATTTTGTGTTATACTTGGCTAAGAACTTGACCTGTGTAAGCTCACTTAAGGCTCAGGACAGTTCCAAAGAAGACAGAGATGGAAGGTGACTTGCATGAGTGAGTAGGTGGAGTGGCCTAACTGCCAGGCCCAGGTCCCCACCAACAGCTTGCATGGTACCTGTGTGAGTGTGCAACTGGAGTATCCCGGTCTCAGTTTACCCAGCACTCATTTCTAGCCCTGCTGTTTCCTAGCCATGGGTCAGTAGGAGAGACGACTTCTTTTTGTTAGCTCAGTTTCCCCATCTGTACAATGACAAAGATGCAATGCGACTGAGGATCCTACCATTCCCTGGCTCTGTGTCCATGTCCAGCAGGGACCTCCAGCAGAGGCCAAGGTCACACTGAGAAGGGGGGCTTCTCGGTCTTTTCGTTTCTTTCTAGTTGGCAAATCAGCTTGGCTGAGGATGAATTAAAAGCATGTTGATTTTCGTGGTTGCAGCCATTCCTGCTTCAGGTATTAACTCAATGCAGAGGTCAACAACAATCTTTGGTCTTTGTCTCCTAAATTCGAAGACCCCTAAATCTTAGCACTTGGTGTTGAAATGAAGTCTGTGCTGACACATGCAAATGTTCACAATTAACTGAGGCAGAGCACGACATGGGAATGACTTCAGAGCTGGAGGAAGGTCATCTGGCAGACGAGGAAAGCTTCCAGGGGCTAAGACGAATTAGAATTAAGTCATCCCAAGTTTGGAAAGACCATAAAGATTTTCTAGTTCAGTCATTTATCAGAAGTTTAAGTCCTAGTCATGGTTTCCCTGCCAGGAATTCCTTCAGCCATGGCTTGATTACATCTTTTGACGGGGAACTCACCACCTCACAAAACAGGCAATTCTATGTCCACAGGTCAGATTTGGTCCTGGCCCATTTTGTATGACCCACCAGCCAAGAATGGCTTTTGCATTTTAAAAGGGGGAGAGAAAGAATGCATGCCGGGGACCACATGTGCCCTGAAAAGCTTCATATATTTTCTTTCTAACTTTTTATTTTAAACATTTGTCAACCCCTGCTGTAGTTCCTTAGCTCTGAAATTTGGAACTAGGAGAGTGGGCTAGCTTGTGAGGTAGGGAAGGAGGAACTTCCAGGCAGTGAGAGCAGCCACTGCCAGAGCATAGAAAGAAGTTCATGTCAAAGGAACCTTAAATAAACCACCAGGGCCAGAGCAGTGGTGCTCAAACATTGCTCAGTCACCAGGGCTTTTAAAGCCCTGGTTTTCAGGCTGCACTGAAGGGCAACCAGCCCATAATCTTGGAGGGATAGGGCTCAGGCTTGGCATTTTCTAGCGCTGCGTGATTCCAAGGTGCAGCCAAGTTCAAGAACCACTGGGCTAGAGCAGTTTTTAAACCCCGGCTGAATATATTACCATCACCTGGTGACTTAGAAAACAAAAACAAAAACAGAGCAAACACGGATATTCAGGCCTCATCCGATGATAGCTGTGTGCCCATCAAGAACCACTGCCCAGAGTGCAGGGTGAGACACAGAGGAAGAGTCCGGAGATAAGCTAGAAGCAGATCTCAAAGCGTCTTAGATGTTGCACTAGGGATTTGCAGTTTTGTGGAACTCCTTAGAGGTTTGTTGGGGGATCTGTGTGCATGAATGCCACAGGGCAGACCTGCAGCGAGAAGAAACTGGAGGCAGAGACACCCGCCAGGGGCCTGGAGCCATCAGCCCAGGACAGTTATCTGGGACAATGCCACCCCTGCGAAGGGTCCCATGGGCGTTGCCACTATGATAAGCGCAGGTCATGAGGGCAAGAAAGCTGTACGTTTCACGGTGTGATTTAGTGCCTCGAGTTATCTTTTTTCCATGACAGCTGTTTTCCCAGCAGAAACAGTAAATGTCAGCATTGTATCTGAGTGAAAAGTTGACCTTCTTCCCCACCCATTCACACAAATAAACCAGATTGGACTCCACAAATCTGCCTGAAGTTCCTTGTTAACCAAAACCATAAAGCTTAGCCTTCTCTGTTTTTTTTTTTCTTTTTTTCTTTTTCCCAAGCCTTTTCACAACGATCCTGATTCTGTTCCAATTGTTTGCAACTGTGGCTTTCTTTTGACTGTAGAACATGCTGCATTTCCAAGGCTTTAAATGCTGGGCTCCCCATCAGTGTCTATGAGACTCCCTGGAGGGAAGGCGGCCTGCGCCTCCCAATCCCAGATCACCTGTCCGCCCCTGCCCTCCGCTTCCCCAGTCCACCTTCAACCCCCTGTGTTGACCCAGCCTCTGCGCCTCGCTGGCTAGCAATGACTTTAGCCACAGGATTGACCAGGGTTTAGAAGCTTCATTTAAACTCACATTGACAGTGTACAGTTTAAAGCCTCAGGGAACTTACCTGTCTAAGGAAAGCTGCCACTTAGACTGTGAGATCATCTTGCATCTTCCTAAGTGGACAGGGAAGAGCGAGTCCCCAGAGGAGCCACCCCGGGAAAATGTGGCAGGAAGATGCTCAGAGCTGAATGGCGGAGGGACTCACTGGCCTGCTCCCCATGATTAAAGAAGAGGGCTGGATCTCCCAGAAGAGGGCCAGGAGGCCGCCTGAGGCAGCTTCTGTGAGGAACAGGTCAATGTAAGAAGACTTGACAAGGAGTTGAAATTAAGTGAAAGAAAAGAAAGAAAACAGGAGAGGCAGTTTCCTGCTGCATATTTTATTTGTGTCCATAACCCCAAGGCAGTGGCAGGGAAGTCTAACAAATGAGGCAAAATAAAAGAGCTTCACCTTTTGAGAAAAGATCATTGCCAAAATGTGTCAATTCCAGTTTTAAAAATAATATGATGCCCTGACTCTGTGCCCGGCACCAAGTTAAGTCCTCTATGGGGAGTTTGTGTTTCAGTGGGGTGGACAGATGCGAACAAGATGGAGCGGTAAGGCCACTGCCATTATCAAGGTGCGAATTAAGGTCTGAGCACCTCAGAGGACGGAGCGGTCCTGGTGGAAATGCCTTACTCAGTGCATACCTTGCTTGGAAAAAGGACCCCTCTGTTTATCACATTGATTTCAACTGGAAAGACTGCAGAAGCATACTAGCATTTGAGGGGATCTACGTAGTCGGCTCTGCCTGCCCTTCCTCTCTATCCCACATTCTCCCTGCGCTGCAGCCATCTGGAGACACAGGCAGCTGTCCCCCTCCCCACACACACAATTCATGGTCCCAGCCTTTGTGTGTGCTATTTCCCCACTTGCAACAACCATTCTTATTCATCTATTTGAGGTGTGGCTTCTCATCTTCAAAAAGTCAGCTCATACTGCATCCTGAGGCTTTCTTAGAAACAGACAGATAGACCCTCTGGGCTCCCACAGCCCCCTGGATTAACTCCTAGTGTATCCCCCCACCCCTATTACAATGGCCATTGTTGGTCAGTCCTCCTAACATCAGGGACTGCTTCAAAGACAAGAACCTTGTTTCTATCACCTGTATCCAAACACACAGCCTGACTATGGGTCAGCACTCAATAAATGCTTGTATTTTTCATGAATTCTTTCAAAACATACTCATTGAGTTCCTACTGTGTGGTGTGTGGTGTTTTCTACCACCACAGCTCACACCAAATGTGTGTGTGTATTCTGACACCAAATACATGTCATTTTTCCACACCACCTCTTCAATTTGTCTCCACCAACAACTGGGTGTCCAACAATTCAACTAAATTCTGACACTGCCTCCCCAGAGCCAGCACAGAGCCTACAAGTTAAAGAGTTCAGTCCCACAAGACTTTCCTCACTTCAGACACCAGCCAAAAATAGAGTCCCAGGGAGCCGGCACTTCTGCCCTGCTGACTACAAATTCAGGGATTCCCAAGGCTACCCTCAGGTTTGATAATTTGCTAGCATGACTCCCAGAACTCAGGAAAGTGCCCTACTTAAAATTACTGCTTTATTACAGAGGCTACAACTCAGAAACAGCCAAGTTGAAGAGAGGCATAGAGAAGGTATGGGGGTGTGTCAGGGGGCATAGAGCTTTCATGCCCTCTCTGGATCCACCAGCCTCCTAGCACTTCAATGTGTTTACCAACTGGGAAACTACCCAACCCTGTCATTTAGAGGTTTTTATGGAGGCTCCATTATGTAGGCATGATTGATTCCATTATTGGCCATTGGTGATTGAACTCAGCCTGCAGCCCCTCTGCCTTCCTTGGAGGCTGGAAGATGGAGCTGAAGGTTCCAACCCTCCAAACATGGCCACTGCTGCCTTGAAACCATCGAATGGCCCACCTGAGTCACCACATTAGAGCTTCATTTTAAATGACAAAAGCCACTCTTGTTACTCCAGAAATCCCAAGGCTTTTAAGAAATCTGGGCCAAAAACTAGGGACAAAAATCAAATATATATATTGCAATTGTGTGTGTGTGTGTGTGTGTGTGTGTGTGTGTGTGTGTGTTATGCCCCAGTGCCAGCGTTGGGCTGGGAGCTGGAGATAAAAGTATGAACAAGACAGTGTCTCTATCCCCTATCCCCACAGAGGAAGAGGAGAGGGACAGAAACCAGGTGAGAATGACCACTTAGACATTCTGTAGGAGGAAGGGGGCTGGCCCCGACTGACCCCGAGGCGAAACCCTCCTGCAGACAACGTTGATAATCCCAGCCAGGCTCTTAGGATTGCACACAGCAGGTGTGCCCCAATGGGAGCCTGGTGAGATCCAGAGCGGGTAAAGGCTGTGTCCAGCAGACCCAGGAGAAGAGTCTGGGACAGGAGGATGGGAGGAGCATCAGATAACATAAAGAGTCAAAGCCATGCACTTGCGTGACATTGGCTCAATGCCAGGCCTGCACCTGCGACGTCTGAAAAGAAGGAACCATGAAGCATCCTGGTCCTGCCCTACAAGTGGAAGGGCTCAGTCCTTTAACTCCTCCGATGCTGGAGGAGCCCACAAAAGAGACAGACCTGGGAATGAATAATTATTGCTTACTGGATTTACAGGAGGCAGGAGAGGGAAAAAAGTAGGACACAATTTGTGTGTCAAATTCCATTGTTCATACGTGATCCCTTTCAATTCTCTCATGCCTGAAAGGTTGAATCCATGATCTCAAAAGTGGCAAGGTGGAGTCCAGACTCAACCGTAGCTATGTCTGCCTCTGAATCTCATGCCAGGGGGGCCGGCTCTACCTCAAGTTGGGTGGGAGGGCTCTGTGCACCATCCTGCAGTGCCCCGAGAGGGGGCTCAGCCAGCAGACAGCAAGTTCTCCCTGCCTGGCATGGGGTGCTCAGGCAGCTACAGGCACATTCTTACTTGTTGAATGAATAAACAAGTGAATGAAGAAATACTAAATGAAAGAAAAAACCCTATCCATAGCCTTGGCCTCGCCCCAATTACCTTAAGTATCCCAGAACTTTAGGGGGAGTCAAATCAGATGACTCCTTTCCCCCTCAGAAGTTAGGGGATTGTGTGCAAAGCAGAATGACAAATGGCATTCTAACCCTCCTGACCAAGCAGGAAGTGTTGGATGGAAGAAATAAACATATCCACATTAACATAACTAGAGCTATAAGTTAAGAGACATAACGACACTAAACTGGTATATAGTCACAATTTTTGAAAAATTGTTTAATGAAAATCAAATGGAAAGTCTCACAAATCTGGACTTAAAACTAGATAGTAGCCGTTGCTCAGGACACATCAATGTCTCTAAAATGAATGTATTCAGAAGGTGAGAATTAACCCCAGCCTTGGTGCTAGTCCGTGTCCAGAAACAAAGACCCAGACGCCACGCCATTACCGCACAGGCTTTCAGGGAAAGGACTTAAAAGATGAACTATCTGAAACTACCCTGCGAACGCCAAACCATTATAGAAATGGGGAATTCCATCCAGCTCCAGCAGGCATCAGGGAAGCAGGAGCTACGGTCAGGAGGGTTTGTTTTGTTTGTTTGTTTGTTTTAGAGACAGGGTCTCACT